AAAAATCCGTGTTCATGCTCTGAAAATACCACACCCAACCTGTTTTTTATTTCATATCTCTTTGTGCCCTCATTCTAAAGGCTTAAATAAACCTCAAAAAGTTCTATATTTAGCATAGCTCATTTATTTGAAACATATGGAGAACGTTCTATTGACAGGGTCTCACTGAAGGGTGTGTGGGTGGTATTTCCACTTAAAAGCTGGAGTGTGAATCGTAATGAAGTGAGGAGGCAAAACGAAAAGGAAGGGAAGGGGGTGGACTCGAGCGCTAGGAGCAATGGGTGTACGAACAGCAAACTCACAAAGCAGGAGTGATTCATTTAAAGGGATTTGGTGCATGCGCCAGATTTAGCCTCTCTGCTTTGCATTTATACACATAGAGAGGATAAAAAAAAGAAGGCTACGAAGAAGCACAGAACGGGGGAGGAGGGAGGTATTTAAAGAAAGTAAGACAAATAAGAAAGTTAACAGGAAAGTTTGTAGATTGTGATCAGGGGATGATGAGCTTGATAGTTTTGGGTGACCAAGAGGATGGACCTTACAGAAAAGAGACTTGAAGACAGGGAAATGTAACGATGCCAGCTGGACGGATGGAGGGATGACAGCGCAGCGTAATTGGATTAAAGGGCAGAAAATTAAAAGTATTTACTTTGTATCCTCCTCCAGCAAATAGGATCCACTGATAGCACGTATTGCTGTTCTGCTGAGCTACGAGAAAGGCAACACTTTCAAAAGAGGCCTTAACTGAATATATACAGTATGCATGTGCATAGACACAATTCCATATAATTGTGTCTGCATCATATATGCATGAGGTCTGTAATATAAATAATACAATGCATGAGATGATGTCTGAATGTTATGCACAACCACATGGGCCAAGTCTGAGTGTGGCTCATGATTCTGTGCATGTCATGTTGTAATCTGCTGCTCTGCACTCGTGTTCCCTGGCAAACAAACAGCAACATCAGGTGTGCATATGTGCGTGTGCTTTTGCGGCTGAGCAATCAGCAGCGCAGCTTGAGACCGTGACTGGACTTCGACAGACAGGATGACAACTGCGCACGTGTTGCCAGACTTTAAGTCTTGGATGGGCTGACACACTGAGCGAGATGACTCAAACGCATAAACACCCAGTCACGCAAAACAAAGACACAGCCCAGAAAGTGCGTTTTGCAGCAGCTCACCCTGTGCAAGTCCTGCTCGAACACAGCTTCGTGGACGCTGCACGCAAAGAGCGCTGTGGGAAGGTCGCTCAGATCCATCATCTCCTCCACCATGCCGTCTTGATCACTCTCTCCAAATATCATGTCCTCTTCCTCCTCATCATCCTCCTCGGGATCACTGCTGTAGGCCTCTGAGCCGTTACTCCATGCCTTGGAGCTCTTTCGCAGCATTTTGAAGGCTTTTAGGCAGCTGCTGACAGAGGGGTGGAGATGACAGAGGATGGGGACTGGGAACAGGGTAGGTTTGGGGGTTGGAATTTGGAAGATAAGTTGGTGATGCTGGATGAATGTGTGTGCAAAAGTTGGCTTAGTGTGAGGTGACAGTGAGATGCGGGTGTTTAACTAGATCTTAGTGGTAGGATGGAAAGGGAAAGTAAGATTAAGAAAAGCAAAACAGGATAAATTAAAGAAAAAGGTTTGCATCCTATTTGTAGGTTATATTTTCTCCCAGTTCAATTATACCATTCCCAGCAAGGTTATTAGCTAACTAAGACTAAACTTAAAACTAAGATGTGAAAATCATTTTACTTGACTAATTATTAAGGTAAAATTAAAAACTAAACTTTTGAAGAAAATTAAAACTACTGAAACTTGGAAAAAGTAACTTAAATAAAATAAAAATAAAGAGGAAATATCCTCAGTTTTAGGATCTGTTAGTTTAATACAATGTTATTACAGAATTGCTCATTGTTGTGTGTTTTTATTCTAGCACTTGTACTGATTCCCCTAAATCTTGAATCAGACATATTCCCTCGTATAATAATTAGACAGCAATAATTAAAAAATTAAAAGACTCAAACTAACACTGAAACTAATAAAAACGAATCTAAAACTAAACTGAAATAAGAAAACCCACTCATGAAACTAACTGAAGACAAATTGAAATAAAAACAAAACTAATTAGGAAACACAAAACTATGATAACTCTGGCTTCGAGTCAAATTTTATTACCAAATATTTTAAAGATGATGCTGACTTTATTTGACCCCAGTTACAAAATAATCTCTTCAATCATACAAAAAAAGAAAGATAAGGCATAAAATATTTATTTAACCATCACTAACTGTGAAGAAGCCCTCAAAAAAAAAGAGTTTAATTTTCCAAAAAGGTACATATAAATTACTTGTGGTTGACTTACAGTTTTCCTCTTATTTTATATGAAAAAATAAATAATTATATTAAAGAAAAGAAATGGATAGGGGGGATGGTTAGCACCGCCAACGCTGCTCTGAGGTAAGAGTGCCATCTAGTGGTATAAATATACACATACACCACAAGATGACACTTCCTGTGAATATTTTAAGTACAATAAAACGCCAACATCTAAAAAAGAAAAAAAAGAGCCAACTGTCAGATATTTAAAATAACACCGACGAGGAAGTTTGTTTCAATATAACTTCCTTGTAGCAAGACAGGAATGGTAAAAACGACGGCAGCGAACCGGCAACATCTCCTCCCTGTTGTTTAAGAGGATCGTGACATCAAAATTTGCGTTGGGTGTACGCAGAGGAAACCCCTGGACATTACGTAAAGCTCGTGCAATGAATAAATAAATAAATAAACAATACGATTCTGGCGTTAAAGCACTTTGCTATCGATACCAAAGATTGTTTTTAAGCCTCAACAAATTTCAATTTTTATACAAAAGTTAGCACACAAACACAGACGCGCGCAGAGGATGAAGTTACTCTTTTATTTTTTTCCCTCTGTAATCGCGTCCCATGCAAATATTTCCACTCACCTCCCTACTGTCAGCGAAAGCGACCGAAACAACCCATTGCAAGCGCACTTACATCAGGATTTTTCCGGTGACTTTGTTAAACGCAGCAAATAGAAGCTGTTCGTGTTTATTTTGAGGCTGTTGACGGAAACGTGGGTGTTTGTTATTACTGGATTATTTCACTCCGATGCAGCCTACTTCCACCGTCTGGATCCGCAGGTGGGGCCAATCAAATATGCGCGTATGCTCGCAGCGACCAATCAGCGTGCTGAAAGGGGAGGACGCTGCAGCAGCTTCATGATTGGTGGCGGCCAAGCAGCAGAGATGCACAAAATCCGGTGCTGTATGGGGTCAGAAGGATTTCTTAGAGTCATATCAGTCAGTAAGGATCGCTTTGCTATGTTCTGCATGTTTTAGCTGAATATATACACATTTCAGTGTTTCTAGAATCAATTGCTGTTATTTTTCCTCTATCTACCTGTTGCTCAGTCAAAATAAAGTAGCTAAGCTTTGTGTCTTTTAACTAGTGAAATGTAGTTCTGAAGATTTTACAACGGTTATCAATTCAAAAGCAGATTGCATGCTATAATACGATAATATTGGTATTATTGTGGCTCCAAGCCAAAGTCAAATAGAGGCATTGATATACATTATATCAGGGATGTCTAACATAATTTTACATTGTGGAACATGTGCAGTCAATTTTGAGCTTAAACCCCTGAAATATTTTACTATAAGAAAAAGAAATGCAATTTTCTGCAATACATCTCAGGTTTTCTTCATGATGTAGAAATGATGCTTTGACTTTAAATTGGAATAAATAAATAAAGGTTCTGTTAAACTGCCCTGCAATTATAAAACGGAAAATGCTTGCTTGTCCTATTTTTTATGGTTATTTTCATGGTCAACCTACAGCAAAAATCTTAAATTTCTTTCTGTCATGTAATTGTTTATCTTTTACTTTTACTTTGGTGTAGTATGAGTGGCGATGGGCAGCTAGAAAAGCCGTGAAACTCATGAAAATGCAGTTAAAAAACAAAAATGTATCCCTTCCTTCACATTTTCCAAAGTCTTTGGTGGGCTGATTCTGGCGCCTCTGCATTATATGTACAAAGTCATCCCCATTATATATAAACCGGCTTTAAAATGGAGTTGGTTCCCCCTTTGCAGCTACAGAAGGTTCTGCATCGGTGACTGTGTGATTTTTTGCCCATTTATTCAGAAGAGCATTTGTGAAGTCAGTAACTGATGTTGGATGTGAGTTCTTTGTTTTAGTTTAAGATTTTTGATCGGGTTTAGACCAGGGCTTTATGTGAACCACTCAAGTTCTTCTGCACTAAACTTAAATGCTGGAACAGAAATCGGCCTCCTCCAAACTTTTCTGACAAAGTTGGGACAACATGCCTGTCCAAAATGTTTTGGTAAGCTGAAATATTGGAACCAAGCCAACCCCACAAAAACAACCCTGTAGTACAATTGATCCTCCACCAAACTTTACATCTGGCAGCTAGGTAAGATCCTCATTCCAAACCCAAACTCATCCATCACACTGCCAGACCGAGACGCATGATTTGTGACTCTACAGAACAATAGACCTTGTTTCTACTGCTCCAGTCCAGTAGTGGCTTGTTTCGCACAACTCAATATGACACTTGATGATGTAAGGTTTGCCCGCAACTGCTCTTCTATGGAAACCCATGCTCTGAAACTCCTGGCACAGTTTTTGTGTTGATGTTAATGCCAAAAGACGTTTGGAACTCTTCCATTAATGAGTCAAACTGAATTCTAGACACTGTGACTATGTGCTGTCATTCCTAAACACTTCCATCGTGTGTTAATACCACTTAGAGTTGATTGCTGAATATCTAGGAAGGAAGAACTTTCACAATCTGACTTCTTGGAATAGGGGCCTGCTATTACAGTAGGGTGCTAATGTTGAAGAGTTACATCAATGTCATTTTAAAACCACTAATGTGAAGAGTTGCAATTTAGTCAACAAAGAGCTAAAAATGTATCAGAAATCCCATAAAGCACAACTCTGACCAAACAAAAGCTGCATTACGTTAACTTTATGAGACAAGATTACACACCACTGTATATTTTACAATGACAAAAATCTGACATTTACATTACCAGTGCCGTTTTTCAACAGTATCCCAGTTTCATTAGAAGATTAATTATCACCACAATAACCACATACTGAACAGTGTTAAAGCAACGAGCCCTCGGGTAGCTGTTCTAATAACACTGATGAGATGCAGTGACCCATGTGCAGATGGCAAGTGTCTTAAAGTGCCACTTAGGCAACAATCACTTCATCTAATGATAAAATTGCATTTGAAAGACACTGCAGAAAAGAGTAACACCAACTACGTTTTTTATTTCTAGATTTGAGTGTTCTCAAAAACTCCCATGTGTTGAAAAGGGACAACCAAAAGTTACAAGTTCAATTTACGATGTGCACCGTTTTAGCTGGACAGCTTCATTTTTTATATATTCTGTTATTACACCCATTTTACTTATTAATCTTAAGATGCAAATTTTTAAGATCCCCCAATATGAAATTACTGCAACTGTACTTCTGATTAAGACAGTCCCTGACAGACTCCCCTCACCTTTTATCAACAGATGTTCTATAGAATTTGTAGCTACCATCTATACAATAAATGATCCAGTTCAGAACCAGATTTCAAGGCACGTTCAAAACTTTTAAGATACGATTAATAAATACATAATAATAAATTAAGACAACTGCAACCCAGTGTTTGGTCACATTAACAAATGAAACAGTGCAGTGCACTCCCAGGATTAAGAGAAGGCAGAAAACTGTGCATGGAAGACAGTTGGGAGGGAAACATTTAAAGCCAAAATATAATTTGACAAGTCTGAGAAGCTATATTATAAACAGCCATGGTTTGAGTCCTCCATGGAAGAACAGATCATTGTATGGCCCCATTGATAAGTGAATGGGAACAAATTGCTAACTATTTGTGGAGTGCTCACTGGAGGTATCCGAGATGACATCAAGTATAAGGTAGGCAGCTTCAAGGCGCAACACTGTCTCTTTTTCTCAAGTGAAGTTTGCAAACCCATCAAACAGTCTTTGGGTTTCTTCTGTTCATTCCTGTAATGAATACAGCGGACATCTTTTAAAAAACGAAAGCTTTCCAAGGATGTGCACAGGAGCGTCAGGCCAGAGCTGGCCTTTTGTAGCTACTTGAATGTTATTAATTGTTGAATGGAGGACTTGGGAATCAGGAGATGCACTCATGTTTAATCTCTCTTTATGGCAGGATGGCCTTGTGATGCATCACTGGTTCTAGGTCCGAGCGGTGGCGTTTCCAGGTGGACTGGGAGAGGAGCAGGAGCCACTCCATTGTTGTTGACAAGAGTCCCATAGGAGAAGGAACCACTGTAGTCTGGCTGAATGACTGGGCCTTTGTCGTGGATCGTCGGGACACCTGATAATGGAACGGACAGGCAAAGGTTCTTAACACAACTTCAGCAGAGCTAAAATGCCAATGCAAGCCTGCGTAGCTTGAAATCTCAGAAGACACAATTTATGATGTTTATGTTAAAATTTATACAAACCATTGCTCATATTCAAGGTGACGCACGGCTCAAATATCCTTGCCTTTTTCTTGGTTTTGGTTATAAGGAACACTCCAAGGAAACAAACTGCAGATCTGTACAAAGCACAAAACAAGCATTTACATTTATTAATTTTTTTAATACAAAGTTTTACTGCTTGGTATTTCAAAGAGATACTGTATAACACATTTCTGCCAAGCATGTTTTTATTGTGTTTATTAGTATAAAAACAAACAAACACACACACACACACAAAAAAAATGGCGATATTAGGACAGGTGGCCTAACAGCATGCACAACAGTGAGTGACTGAAACCAAAGCAGTCAGAAGTCTAATTTAAAAAACATTCTGCTTATGATGAATGATTACTCACCCCAACAAAAACATGCAGATGTGAAGAATGTCTTCATTGCTAAACTCCAAGTAAAACACAGCTCCTGAAAACCAGAAAACAGCAAATCTTTAATGACTTTGGCATTGTTACTCTAAAAGGTGTGTAGCAGAAATAAAGCAGGTATGGGCTGCAGATGATCTATTAGACAACTATTAGAGTTGTGCACACAAGTTAATCCGATTGAAAACAATGGAGAAACCAGCAACAAAGAAGGACATGACTCACCGGCCAACACGGCAAAGAAGGTGGAGAGGATGTAGTTGACACTCGCAACGAGAGAGGAGTCGTGCAGCTTACAAGCTTGGGAGAGAAATCTAGGACGACGGTAACAAACATAAACAGTGGTGTATTAATTATGCTTATCTACTGGGTCCAATTAAAACCAATTTAAAACAAACAAACGAACAAAAAAAAAAAAAAAAAAAAAAAAAGCAATCAAGTGATGCAAGTTCACCCTGCTTGGAAGATCGCTGACGCCACCATGCACACAAACATGACGCTGAAGATCGGGTAGTTAAGCTGCATGGTGCCTTCGATGGTGAGAACCAACATGCCTGACACAGCCTTCACTGTCAAGACCGTAACTGAGCCTGTGTGCCAAAAGTACACAAAGTAGGTAAGCAAATAAAGGCGACAAGGAGCGACAGCTTTGGTTCCATTTAAAAATCTGAAATGTGACAATGTATCCTAACAAACATGATAGCAGCTTGGTCGGAAATTGATTGCTTCAATGCAGGACACTCACCCAGCAGTGCCACCAGTAGCAGAATAATAACGAGGTAGTTAGCTTTGCGCCGTTTGTAGAAGTATAAAAGCAGGCAGAATGTGATAATCTCCAGGAGCTGTCAGTTAGGATACAAACAAGAATAAACACCAAATTAATGCCATATAGAGAAAAAACAATATATGAAACACAGGAAAGTCCAATAATAGGACAATTAATCTTACAGACAGAGACAAATGTGTATGCAGAATACCAACAAGGATAAAAAGAGCTGGTCATTTTTCTGCATTTAGTGCAAGGTTGTGGATTATAATGATTGTGTAAAGGGACGACCGAATTAAAAAGGAACAGAAGGTAAAACAGCCTTGCATTAGGTGCCAATTTGATGGAGCTTGTTGGCTCATTTATTCTTACCAGTTTTCCAAACTACAGCCTCAACATTAATCACAACACTGTGGTCATCTGTATGGTTGAGCTCCCTTTAAGAGATTTGTTTTAGCACAACATACAACAGACATGACATATACTAGGCTATTTAAAAGTGTCACTGCTTCATATGTCACGCTCTATATTCGTTTTTATCTATTTACTCAGTGTTAAACTAAGAACACCACATCTACAGACAGGAACCATTTGAGAACTGTCTATCTAAGAGAGATATCTTACCAGATACAGGAGAACAGGCCATCCAACAAGGTGCTTCACAATGTTAGCTGCTATAAGTTTTTCATGAGAGTTCGGTCCAAATGATACAAGGAGGTATGCCCCTCCAATAACAAGGATGTAGCCCAGGAAGACGAGGCCGTACTGCTCTGAAATATCACCAAGTGAAAACCGGATCTTATTTACTCTGTACAGGACAAACTCTTTGGATGTATAATTTCAGTCAGTAGAGCAGCAAGAAATTAGCATACAATGTCACAATTTCAGTTCACATGGATATTCTGAACTTACTTGCAAAGTCCTTTGGTTTCAGTCTCTCACGCAGGAAAATGAAGCCCAAAATTGAGCTAGCTGGAAAGCAATTTCAAAGGGAACAATCTGAACTTTTAATTCAAGCTCTCCTTTTAATTTGTTCTATTTTTATAAATAACATATTGATTAAGGTTGGAATATGTATCTGTAAAATGCAATACATATATCTGAAAGTGGAATAAATACTTACTCAGGACTGACACGGCATTGAGAGGGGCTACAATAGCAAGAGGGGCAAACGCATAAGAGACAAAGTTTGCTAGCTCCCCGAGACAGGTGAATATAAAACCCGACCACCAGGTTTTAGTGCGATAGAAGGCACGATGCTCCTTTGTTCCTGCTAACTTCACATGGCTGTATTTCTGCAAACAAAAGAAAACATGCAGGTAAAACACAGCTGTGACAGCGTAAGCAGAAAATTTACACAGCAGTACACGGTGCAAAGCAAACATAAACAAGGCCTAAATCAAACTATAAAAGAGAACATTTAAATAAGGGATGTCATGACAGCATATATCATTTATTCCACATAATTTTTAAATCCTGTAATGACCTAGCCTCACCTAGAAGCTAGAGGACATGACTCACAAAGGGCATACACAGACAACATTGATAACATTGTGTATCAATTTAAAGACGTGAAAGTTTTTTCAAGGAGCCATGTACCTGAACGGTTAAAGAAATGCTGACAAGCACATTTCCAAAAATTGCAAGTAAAGTCCCGATGAGGTTGTCCTAAAAAGAAAGAGGAAAACATTTATTGAAATTCACATATTCGATCAAAGTTAAATAAACACAGTTTAAATCTATCTTTTTAAACCCCAAGGCAAAAAGAAAGAGAAGTTCGCTTTTTCATGGCACAACTCTTTGTGAACATTCAAATATATAACGCAGAGTGATTAAAGCGGATGCGTTGGCAGTTTTGTCTACAACAAATGCACAACGTGTCCGTCTAGTCAGATAAAACGAGACTTTGAATGAATCTAGATAAAAAATACAAAGCAGAAGGCCAAGACGTAGAAGTTGGACTTTAACCTAGACCAGATGAACAATACTCGTGCTAAAAGCCACTCGTAACACTACAACAAAGAAATAAGACGAACAGGGATGGCCATAAGGGGGATCCCGATTACGCCCTGCCACCACTATTACAAAACAATAACAGGAAACAGACTTTGTAGCTCAACTTTTGTTACAACCGTAATTTTTAAAACCTTGAAAACAGCGCTTTTGTATGGGTTTAGACACCCGCTACTAGAGCAAAGAGGTAAACAAACAGTATTAATAGTCGATTATACATTAAAGTACTGTTTTTAAACTAAGCGTCTCACCGTGTAGGACCCTATTTCGGCTCCGTTGTAGTCCATTTCTGTTAGATACACACGCGTTCTCGGAAAAGTACCAGATATTTCACCTTGTCCGGTTGCTTCTGATTTGACGTAAAGTATCTATCGCTCATTTTTGTGCGTGTCCATTTTTCTTTTTTAGCTCTACACTCAGAAAGACACCATCTTTGAGACGAGGAGCATCTCACTTCCGGATTGAATTCACCTGTTTAGTGACGGAAGCCAGTCGGTTTAAACCACGTGACCGCGCACGCTCGCAGCTTTTATTAACAAACTAGAGGAGGATGTAGCCGGTTTAAGGCGTGTCTGATTCTTATTGTACGCAGTGACTTTTAACCTTTTTTTTGTTATTCTTACTGCCTTTTTTTGGCTTCTCTTATTATTTACTGTAGTTCAGCACTTAGATAGCAGTACCGAATGCGAACACTAGGGTGTGCTATTGACTTGAGATTTAGCCAACAACTTTTACAGCAGAGAAACGAGGCTCAAATACCATTAAATTCTTAAATTGTTTTATTTAGAGCAATGTCACACATCTATTATCAATTGTATATATTAAGTACAGTGAGACCAGGAGGGAACACTTTCATCTTTGCAATAATTTTTTAATGAAAAACAACCTGCCAAAAAAGCCATCATTATTACAATCTTACAATCATGACTAACGTCAGTGGTATGTTTTCTGTTTTCTCTTTGTCATTGCAACAGGGAAGGAGTGACAGTACAGTACGTCAATTACTTTTGTACTTTCTATAAAAGTAGTGTTGAAAAAACAAAAAAAA